GAAGATCAGAACTTTTATACCATTGGTTACACAAGGGAATGGGAGGAGAAATGGGTGGTTCATGACCCATTAGCAGAAGGGATGGGGTTACAAAGGAATCCAAACTATCAGAGTGGGAATCACAGAAGGGACAGAATTTTACATCAGGGCCTATAGACAGCAATTATGGAGATACATGGTTACACTGTTGTATTGTTCTGACAGGAAAGCAATTTATTATCTTGCAAAAAGGTTACAAGGTTGGGTGAAAAGGAGACTTCCAAGGTGAGAAATGAATAAATGCTTGCATAAGAAAAAGGTATTGTGCAATAGCTGTCCAGGTTCCAGAGCTCAATTCGCATACGATTGGTCCTGATGTTTGCCTGGGGGAAAAGAGTCAAAACCCAGCTGTGTCTGTTTGCTTCTCCAATCTAGAGTGGAATGCCAGATAACCCGCCCTGGCAAAGGAAACCCGGCCAGCCTTATTCCTCTTTGAGGGAACAAAAAACATGTACATATATGTATAGCTGGCTGTGTTTTATCTTTCCAAACTGTATTCTGTGTGATCTGAGTAAAGGTGTGTCCTTCTTGTGTGTTTCATGTAGTGTTTTTGTGTACGTGGTCTCATCACTAGTTTCCTGTTACCACTGATTCTGCCTTTGGTTTTCTCCTGCTAAGGCCAGCTGCATATGCCATGGATTGATAAACAGTTGTGGCCTCTTTCTCCTGGTTGGACACTGTAGAGCAGGGCCCCCAACCTTTTAAACCCCACAGACCAGCTAGGGAAGGTGGGGCACCCCCTCGGGCTCGTGCGCACGCACAAAGGAGTGTGTGCGCTCATGCACATGTATGAAGAAGTGGGAGGGTGCTTGTGCGGGTGTGCGAGCGCTTGTGTGCATGCCCAAATGGCAGTGCGGTGCTCATGTGGGCACACAGGCGCATGCACAAAAGGGTGGGGGAAACGGTTGTGTGGGTGCAGGTGCATGCACACATGCACAAAGGGGCATGGCAGGGGAGTGCCTGTGGGGTGTGTGGGAGGCCTGTCTCTGCGGCCCGGTCTGTCTCAGGCCATGGACTGACACTGGGCCGCGGCCTGGGGGTTGGAGACCTCTGCTCTAGAGAACCACTGGCACTCAGGATAGAGGGTACACTGCATAACGGCTGCAGGGATAGTCATGAGACAGTTACTGTGCAACTGCTGTAGCCTCCACATAATCTCTTTGTTGCTCACTTATTGGAAGTGCTTGTGATGAGCCCATGTTGCTTGCATAATGATTTTTATTCTGTATTTCTTAGTTGCTGCAGGCTCCGGTCTCTGTACACTTTGGGTCTGAAACACTAACTATCCATGATGGTAACTTGCAATCACTTTGCAGTTTTTTGAGATTTAATAACAGGTGACACCCTCCCTCCTGGGAATCTTTTTCATGACCTTACTATAAGTAGGACTGCCCTTCCCTTCTCCATCACAAGCCCCCCTCCCCAGGCATACAAAATCCCATGCTGAAAAACTGGCAAAAAAGGAAGCAAATTTCCAGGAAAAGTAACTCTTTGGCCAAACAATTCACTTACATACAAGTTTTTGACAGGATTCCATCCACCCCCAAAAAGACTTGTTTATGATTTTTGAAAAAGCTTTTGTAAAGGGCTTTGTATACTGAACCTTGTAATAAAATATAAATCAGCTGGAGTTTGCAGAGGAAAAACGATGATTAAATATGTAAGTACAGTGTGCCTTAGGAGCTGAGAAACCAACAGGTTGTCAGTTCTTTTCATTTTTTGCTTATGGATTAGTAAGGAGCTAACCCATATCTCTGGACTAAATCAGATGGAAAGCTCTTTAATCTCTCTAGATTGAGAGAGAAGACCAAAGTCCAGCTGAAATGCATGCGGGACTTCCGCTTCGCCGATCATGCAGCCATTGTTGCCCACTCTGCTGAAGACCCCCAACAACACATGAATCGTTTTAGCAAGGCCTGCCAAGACTTTGGACTAACAATCAGCCTGAAGAAAACACAAGTCATGGGCCAGGGTATGGACTCACCTCCTTCTATTACCATCTCTATACAAGAATTGGAGGTCGTTCATGACTTTGTGTACATTGGCTCAACGATCTCTGACACTCTCTCCCTAGATGTTGAGCTGGATAAACGCAATGGCAAAGCAGCTACCATGTTCTCTAGACTCGCAAAGTGAGGATGGCTTAATAAGAAGCTGATGGCATATGCCAAGATCCAGGTCTATAGAGCCTGTGTCCTGAGTATACTCTTGTACTGCAGTGAGTCCTGGAACCTTTGAGCATGGCAGGAGAGGAAGCTGAACACGTTTCATATGTGTTGTCTCCAATGCATTTTTTGTATCACTTGGCAGGACAAAGTTCCAAATAGAGTAATCCTAGAATGAGCTGGAATTTTTAGCATGTATACAGGGAAATCACCCTAGAGGGAGACCACAGCTGCAATGCAAAGATATCTGCAAGCGGGATCTGAAGGCCTTAGGAATGGACCTCAACAGATGGGAAACTTTGACATCTGAGCGCTCATCATGGCCTCTCCATTTTGAAGACACCCTTGTCCAACAGGCTGAGACAAAGAGGCAATCCCGATTCCAGCAAAATCAGCTGGACAGATTTTGCTGGAATCGGGATTGTATTTGTCCTCAGTGTGGAAGGGATTGCCACTCTTGAATTGGCCTTCTCAGCCACACTAGACACTGTTCCAAGTCCTCTATTCAGAGCACGTTACAATAGTCTCTCGAGACTGAAGGATGCCTAATCTAGTAAGCAGCAGTATATAGGCCTGGCTCCTAGCAGAGCTTCAAAGTCCTTGAGTATTCTGGAGAAAACCCTTCTTTATTTGATAAAGTTGGGCAGGGGGAGAGCAAAGTTTAGTTGCAAGTTTGGAAAGTAGTAAATGAAGAGCGACACACAGTTCCACCTTAAGAAAACTTGAATATACTTTTTTTCATTTCACGGAAGTTGGGAGTGTATCACCCTCCCTAGTGATCCGAAGAAGAACAGACCCAGGGGAGACTCTGCTTAGAAAGCCCTAGGGGCCGGCTCATGCTCAGAGTAAATGGCATGAAAGCAGAAAAGTACTTGGGAGCAGGTGGCCCGGTTTTTCTCCTTGACCTCAAGTCACCGCTTGAGCTGATTGCTCGCTCCATGGGCTGTCCCTCTTGCATGAGAAAACTCCTTTGCAGTTTCCTTTCGTGAAGGTGAGAGGGACTGGGAGGGAAAGGAAGAGGGAGAGAAGGCTCCTGGGTTGAGAATGTTGCTGGGTTCCTGTTGTTGTTGTTGTTGTTGTTGTTGTTGTTGTTGTTGTTGTTGTTGTTGTTTAAGTACTGTAGTTGCCACAGTAGTAGAAGATGATTCCTGAGCTGCCTTGTTGAGTGTGTGATATCAGAGAAGGTGCCACGAGGGAACCATTGATGAAGTGTTGTCTTTAAATTTAATACAAAATACTCCTGTCTCCACTGCCTACCACTCTTTTCAGGCAGAACTGCAACTAGACTCTTTGCCTTGGCCTGGGATGTTGCCTTTCTTTGGTAGATGCACATCTATAATTAAAAAAAGATGCACACTTTACTTTGGAAGGTTTCTTGACAAAGGATTGTGACCCTTTTATTTCCATTGGTTAATGCGGCCTCTTTTCTGAGTCTTATGCAAGCAGGAAACTTACTTGAACTGGCTTTTTCAGCAATAAGTTGTTTCCAAACATAGTCTCACAAGTAGAAATCTGGCTTTTCAGGATTGCCGCCAATTCTTGCTTTCCAACATTTCTCCCATTTATGCTGTATTTTCTCCATTGGATAGGATGGTTATTTAGGGTTAAATGTCCCAAATGTATGCTGATCATATCCTCTGCAGAATGAATGGGGCTTGGATTGTTTGGATGGTAGGGGCAAGAGCTGTTGCTAAGTTGGTTCCAGAGAGCTGAAGTCTAAAGTTTAGCTTTAGTTTAATAACAAAACCTGGTTCAGAAATAACCTGCATGTTAAACTTTCTAAACACAACCTGTAGGCAAGAAATAGAGGCTGTTTGTTTGGGTCAGGTATAAGAAACAAACGATGGGTTCATCACAGGCAGCACAAGGAAGCCCAAAGCCTTTGTGCCTTGTCTCTAGGCATTGCTGAATATCGTTGGCAGGGGCTATTTGGTGATTCCCAGTGTGGTGTAATGAATAGAGTGATGGATGGACTCTGGAGAGCAGGTTTCAAATCCCCACTTGGCCACAAAAGCTCACTGGGGGAATGGAACTGGTAAAACCACTTCTTAAATATCACACTTGCCTTGAAAGCCCTAGTAAGTCAGTTCTGAAAGGAGATGAAGCATTTTGCAGCAGCACTCCTCCTTCTTTCTAAGTGATTGTGTGCTTTGGTTCCAGAGAGAGAGAGAGAGAGAGAGATACTGTAGTATGAAAGGGTCAAAACTGAGGAGTGAGCCCCCCAAAACCTAGCTTTGGTCTCTCTCATTATCATTCTTTGATTTCACACAGTGTGGTTTCAGCATGCTTATTTGAAAGCAAATCCCATTGAAATCAATAAAAGCACCTTCCAGGTAGATATGTTTAGGATTTAACAGAAAGCTTTGTTTTTAAAACAGTAGGAGAGAGGATTTATGCAGGTATGACACAGAGGCTGAAACTGACTTGCTGAAACCTGTCCAGCAACTCTGCGGCTGTAGAGATTTTAACCCAAATTGAATACATGCTGGACCAAATTGGTAGGATTTAGTTTCATTGTGAAGGAGTAATATGATGCATAGTTTTAGGATGCAGTAGCAACTTGACTTTTTTCACAACACTTTGCTGTTGTTTTTTTAAAGATGAACATTGGAAGAAAATGTTTTTATTTCTAAGGAGAAGCTGAAAGGGGAGTTTCATCTGTAGTTTTGCATCAGTGGGCATGTACTGAGGCACTTGATCAGTTGGCTCAGACTAGGTGTAAATTTGGATGGGTGACCACCTGTGAGCAATGCCTGCGGTAGGTTACCTATAAAATGGTTTTTAAGATACAGTGTAATGTCGTGGATAGTGTCAGACTATGACCCAGGAGGCGTGGGTTCAAATCCTTGCTTGGCCATGGAAACTCACCAGGTGGTGTGTGGTGGCCCTGGTAAAACCACGCCTTAAATATCTCACATACTTCAGAAACCTACATACTAAGGTTGCCATTAAGTTGAATGCAACTTGACAGCACATACCACATGCACTGGAGTTTTTAGAAGCTAAATACAGTAAATGTTCACTTGTATATGGTTCATTACCATGTTGCTAGTATATAATATTTGGTGGTTTTTTTTACTGCCACAGGAATATTTGTACAGTATAAAGTTTGTGAGGGAGCCAGTTGACCTATCATGCTGGAAAACTCTCCCTCTCTGTGTGCATGGTGTTAAATGGGGAAGACTCAAACAGTAGAAAAATATCATATGCCGATACATATATAGAAAGATCAGAAGAAACAGGAAAAAGTTATTGAAAATGTGCGAGGTGAAAAGATCTCAGTGACTGTGCCGTATGTATGTAACATTCATGGAAACAAATGGACAGAAATGAATGAGGGCATGCAAAGGAGAAGAATAATTTGGTAGAACCTATGGCTGGGCATAGCACAGAGATAAAGCAGTGACACTTTTAGAGAATGTGCAGTGATTTTTGGGAAAGAGGGGCATTTTCTCCAAGTTTTACCCATGAAATAAACCTCGCCTTTCGGCCTGCTGGCACGGAACACCTTTGTTTCTTTATGTAAGGACTCTCTTGTTCATGGGGTACACTTACACATGCAAGATTGAGACTTTGATCCTCCTTGGTGGAATGATTTCTGTGTTTGCTTTCTCAAGAATGTGATTGCTGTGTGTTTCCTGAGATACCGAGAGAGATCCAGATCCTGAATAAAAAGCAAAATGCTCAAGTGCTGAAGGAACATACATGTAGAGAATGTTGTGGGCTTTGGGAGATAACAGCAGGAAAGGAGAATGGTATAAATTGTGGTTTTTAGCTACAGTTTAGGAATATTTGCATAATGTTTAGTAGTCTTGCATATTTGCATAATGGTTTTCCATGGGACACAACATGGGTGGAGGTTTGTCCAGGCAGAAAATTGCAAGTGACGTTTCTGATAAGTTGTGTTGTAATACTCCCGTCCCCTAGACATATGTATCCCACCTTTCTTAATAATTCACAGTGGCATAGTCTGTGTGAAGCATTCATCAGTGGGGGATTTCCCTTTATCTTAATTCCTTCCCTAGGTCAATTGCTTAAAGATTATTTGACTTTTAGGCTGAACAGAAAGCTATCAAAGTCTGCTGTTTTGTTTCTGGTGATATGTCATGGAATACCTTGGTTCTTTGTCTTTTGCTGCCTCTTTATTGGAAATAATTGACTACTTTTTACCCTGTTGTGTTTTCAGAGTTGGGGACTTTGACAGATAATATGTCGGTGCCCCAACAAGCTGATGGAATTTTTCAAAGTAGGTCACTTTAATGCAGATTTGCTTGGTTACTATGGATATTGCTTAATTATATACCAATAATCCCCCATGAGAATATTGTGATTGCTGCTCATTTTTCTGTTTTTAAATATTTCCAGAAAGTGTAAAAGATGCTCTGGTGGTTTTAAAGCTGGGAATAGATGAGACGAAGCAAAGGGGAATCTAGGTTAAGATATAAGGTGGGAAAGCAACAGTCTCTCAAGCAGTGGAAAACAAGGTTGCTTGTGCTAATTTAAACTTGCTTCTTTCCCCCATCTTTGATTTGTTTTCTGTGTTGAAGGGGTGATAGGAATCAAAGGCCTGGACAGGTCTGGAAGCCTATTTAGGCTAATGCCCTGCTGCTCTGGGGGACCATTCAACTGGCTGCCTTCTGAAACCCCTCTTTGAAACCTAGATTGTTATGGCTCTCAAACAGGAAGTTGCCAGAGATGCCATAAACTGGTGTAGAGGGTTTGCATATGTGTTGTGCTTGCTTCCCTCACATCTCTCGCCTACCCTGTTTCTGTGACATCACAGGGATCTGTCCCTAGACTTGTGTTTTGGCTCTAATATCTCAGAAAGCAGGATGGTGCCCACCTGGCAACCCTTGCACGGTGCCAATTTTATCTTTTCAATAGAAGACAAAAAATGTTTGTTTACCTCAGGCTTTTAGATGCTACCGAACTGGCTCTGCTTTTATTTTTCAAAAAAAGTACTATGCAGTGGTACAGTTCTGTTCTGCTGCTTTAATTATTTGTTTTCTTTGAGGCTCTCTGAGAACCATTTGACATTTACAAACAGTATGTAAATATATCTATATATAAATAAAAAGTGATTATAATTCTTTATTCTCCTGCTGAGCCTAGTGGTGTCAGTCAGGTGTTGAGCAGGAGGCCAGCTCCATCCTTTGGGTGCCTGGAAATTTTTTATGTGTCTCATCTGCACTCCATGCAAAAATCCTAGTACCTATGTGTCTTTGGCAGTTCCCATGTTTCCGGAGTAAGTGGAGCAATACCTCTTGCTCCCCCAACCCTTTTAATCATATATAATAATTCCCCCCTGCATCACAGTTCCTTCCACTTGTAATTTCTAACTGGGATAAGTACAAGAACATCATTCAGACTTTTTAATGGCTGTTTTACTCAGCTATATTTATGCTGCCTCCACCTTAGCTGATATTCTCTGTTGCTGTGAGAAGGTGTGAATTGCTATATACCTGGAAAATTGAATTAGTTTGTTTGATGCCGTGGAGGAGAAGTGGGAGAGGCGGATGGGTTGGATACATCCCCAGAATTTATATCTTTTCAAGTAATGGAAATTCAGCTGCTGCAGAACAGTCAGGCTTGCAAAGCTAAAAGTTGATCGTACTGTCTGCTTTCTTCTCATACTATTCAGATTTAGTAATCACACTCTCAGTATTTTAATCCATGGATATAAGAGAAGTTGGTGCTTTTTTGGCCAATATACTGTAATCTACAGCTCATTTGCTGGCCATTCATATTGACTTGGTGAAATTCCCGTACATACTGCACTTCATTTTTCGCACTTTGATCACTTTTCTTATCTGGTTGTATCAAATGAACTGTGTTTTTTTCCTGTCTAGTTTACTTATTTGTATAAGTTAGGTTGCTATAAGTATTCAGTGAAAGAAAATTTTTTATTAGGAGCAGGTGAGGTTTAGAAGTGCACTGAATTTGTTCCCTCCAAGGCATTTGAATTCCTCCTTATTCTCAGGAGACTTTGCCTTTGGGCTCTTTTTTTCTAAAACAGCCAGACAAAGAGGAAAGTCTCCAGTGACCTCCAGTTTCCAGTAACTTCTCACAAAGGAAGAAAAGAAACCCAGCATTTTGGATTCAGGATTGTCCCAACTCTTCCTTTGTGCCATGGAGTTATATCAAGCAGGCCTGTGTATTTATAACTATATGCAGAAGATCTTCACGCAAGAGTTACAACTTTAAAGAGTAGAGAGCTGTAGGTTAGGGTTGGTTAGCTTTCAAAACTGGTAAAAATATTCACATCGGTAGCTTTTGTAAGCTTGAAAAATACAGTATCTTGGTAGCTATATAGTTTTAAATATATGCTCTTATGTGAACCTATTCCTAGAAGTCTGTCTTCCTGCACCAAGCTTACACAGCATATGTCTCATTTTCTGTGTATTGACTTTCTGAGAAAGGTAAATTCAAGTTGGCCATCATTTATGGCTCCTTCCTTCATTTTGGTGGAAACATCCAATTCTTGTGCAACCCAGCTGATGCTACTTATCCTCCTGTTTGAGAGGGGAAATGCCGGTATTGTTCCTTCTCTCTGTACATTTAGAACTCACTTGAAACTAGGTGCTGTTTGGGAAAGTGTCATCTCCCTTTCCTTATAGACGTTGGTCCCCCAATGTATCTTGTGGCAAGTACAGTAGAAGTAACAAATAAATGCAGCTGCCATTTTAACTTCCCATATGGTCCCTGTGAAGACTCATTACTTCTTCTTCTCATTCTTCTCCTATGTGAAATTGGACATCTTCACTACTGTTCTGACTTTCGATGTGATAACTCTAAACAATGATTTGTGCTGCAGCCAAACGAGGCAAAAGGTACTTCTGCCAATCAGTAGCCTGTGCTTCTGCATTTCCTTTCCTACTTATTTTATCTTAAATGCTCTACTGTAGCAGTCGGTTCCCTTCATTTCTCATTAGGTGACCCAAATATTCCCGCTGTCTGCATTTTATGTGTTTTATGATTTCTTGTTTTTTTGTTTATTAGCCCTCAGTACTTAGTCATGAAATTTTTGTCATAGTCCAAGAAATTCTTAGTATCCTGTGGTACATCAGCACTTCATATCCTTCTCTCTCTCTCTCTCTCTCTCTCTCTCTCTAAATAGGACCTTGTATTAAGGTCCACAATTCTAGTCCACCCCATTGAAACTAGAACACATACCACTGTACAATTCTGAATTCCAGTTTTAAATTTTCTTTCATATTATAGCCTTGATCTTAATGAAGCTGCTTGACACCACCTCCAGTAGCGATTTTCTGATATTACAGCATCCCTTCACTATCTCAAGACTCCCGAAGGCTTTCCCAGAGCAAAAGAAATCCCTAGAAAGTCTTGGAACTTGAAGGGTGGGATAAGAAGTTTTAAATTAAATGCTTCCATCACCAGCTGATAACTCCATTCCCATTGCACGGCCTAAAGTTATGCTACCTAAATTTCAGCCATAGTCTTGCAATGTTATAGACCAGCAATTGTCAATCAAAGGTACATGCAGCTTTGATTGACAATGTTAAAGTGATCTTGGTGGGAGTAAAGGTATTTTAAGGTGAAATTTTAGAATTATTAGTTTTGGTCATTCACTGTATTGTAATAATAGCAATAACATTTAATCCTGGTAATGCTACTGTGATTTTTATTACTCTAATATTTTCTGGTATAATTCAGAACATGCCTTAATGTTAATTTCTGAACAATTGTTCTTTAAAGAATGTTTAATCATTCATCAGAGACTTGTAAATTAAAATAAGGCAATTTTTTTTTCTATCATGCTCAGCATTCCTCCATGTCAGGTACATGTCAACGATGGGCACAGCTGAAGCCAGAACTGAATAGGGACAGAACCAAAAGTTAGTGGGTAATGGCTTTTCTCTCTCTTGTCTCACCTTTTATTTTGCTCCCTTTGCATTCATACTCTGGGTTGCCAGGAACAGAGCTAGGAAATTTTTGAGTTTTTGGTTTTCAAATCCCAGAACATCCCACCCACCCCAGCCAAGGAGTGCCATATCTGAGCAGTAGCCCCAGTTGTTGGGGACTCTGAATAGTTATAATTAGAGATGGGGGTATTTGTATACGAATACCCCTGCACAGGTGGATATAATGACTGTCCACTCACCCATCCACTGCTGCCATGGGCTCCGTGCTCTCTTCCAGTTGCTTCGGAGCTCACAGTCAACTAGCCACTCGTCAGACGGGCAGGGAGGCTCATCTTCCCTTCTTCTGCCAGGAGCGGCTAGTTGACCGTGAGCTCTGGAGCAATTGGAAGGGAGCGCGGAGCCCGTCGCAGCAGCGGAGGGGTGAATGGATGGTAGTCAATCTATGCGGGTGTATTCGTATTCATATACGAATACCCCCATCTCTAGTTATAATCCAAAACAAATAAAATTTACAGTTTGGCTCAGAAAATTGACAGACTGCTGTTGCCAGTGGTTTGAAGTGACCCTTTTCAGAGGACTTTTGGTGTAGGGATGAAGGCATGAAGGTAAGGCTGAAGGCCAAAGGTTGGTTGCCAAGGCTGTGAACAGTCTGCCTGTTATGTAGAGTTGCCAGGTCAGCAACCTCTCCTTTCCTGAGACTTCAACCCAAAAACCTGAGATTAGTGGTGAGTCTTTGTTGGACCATAAAGGTGGTGGGTTCTTATGATTTTGCAGAGATAGGGCGTTCAAAGGTTGAGAACGAAACAACAGATGTCTGAGCAGACAGCCTCAGTACCACCTGTACATGGGTGCAGAAAGGTGGCCGTGCTTTAAAAATACTTTACATACAAAACCCACAACTTTTTTCCTTTTCCAGTGCTTCCGTCCCTGAGATCCGTCTTCTTGCCAATGGCAAGCCAGCCAGATGACCAGACTGATTAATTGCTGCAGCCTGACATTTTTGGCAAGCCAGCCAGAAGCAAGTACAAGACCTATACCTTGATACCCTGATGAACTTTCATAAGATTATTATGATTATCTGGTTCACACTGGTATTTAATTCTTTCAGGGATAAATATTAGCTGTAATGGACCACCACAGACTCAAACTACCAAAGAGTGTTATAAATTATAGTGCCCTGTGGGCTTAGTTCATGTGCTTTCTAATGACACCTGGAAAACATAGGAATTTTGTGAAACTTCAGCCAGAGACCTCAGACCTGGCAGCTATAGTACTATGCATTATAGCCAACTGAACTTTATGCTTGATTTGTGTGCTTGGGCAACTCTTTTATTTCCCCCCTCTAAATACTGCCTCCGCAAGT